CACACACACACACACACACACACACACACACACACACACACACACACTGTGCTCCTTTTGCACACAGAATCATGAAAGTGTGTGTGCAGATAAACGCAACCATGAACCATTAAAATATGAATTATTTGTTGAATGTGCTGATGTGTGTCTGTGCAGGAGACACTGCATGTCGATGTGATGTTTAGAAATGTCTCACAACAGACTAATTTCTGAAGGATTCTCCATCTATCTGATAAACCTAAACAGACTCTGAGCTTTAGTTCAGATGTTGGATCCTAAATAAAAGGGTTTGTTGTGTTTTTGCCTCCTGATGTAATCAGATCCCTGCAGGACACGTGCAGAGAAACATGTGAGGACTGATTCAGATGTCTTCGCTGGACGTCCTGGTGACGTGGACTGTCGGTGCTCCTCTTTAACGGAGAAGCTCGCTGCAGATACAAAGCGACACACTGTCGGGCCTTGATAGATCAGCGTCCGGCTGACCTGGAAAGCTGCTCAGAATACTGATGGTCTGTGAACGATGATGGGGGAGTGCGCTGGTGCAGAAGAAAAACCTGTGGCGCAGCGGGAGGGCGGAACTGGAACACATTTTTGTGGATTCTTTAAAGTGTTTTTGTTTTACAAGATTTTAGGCCTAGCACATCATGAAGGAATACATATTGTCCACCATCGACTGTGCCCGAGTTATTTAATGTTGTGTTTCTGTTGAAGCCTTGAAAATAACACTATGCCTGATTGGATCTCACAAGAGAATGTGTTGGGAATGACTCTCTGCTACTACCACATCACATTTAATTATCTGCCAGACAGACAGACAGACAGAAACAGACAGACAGATAGAGACAGACAGAGAGACAGATAGAGACAGACAGACAGAAAGACAGATAGACAGATAGAGACAGACAGACAGACAGACAGACAGACAGACAGATAGATAGAGACAGACAGACAGAGAGACAGACAGAAAGACAGACAGACAGATAGACAGAGAGACAGACAGACAGACAGATAGAGACAGACAGACACACAGACAGACAGACAGACAGACAGATAGATAGAGACAGACAGACAGACAGAGAGACAGATAGACAGACAGACAGACAGACAGATAGAGACAGACAGACAGACAGACAGACAGACAGATAGAGACACACACAGACAGACAGACAGAGAGACAGACAGATAGACAGAGAGAGACACAGACAGACAGACAGACAGACAGATAAACAGACAGACAGACAGATAGACAAAGAGAGACACAGACAGACAGATAGACAAAGAGAGACACAGACAGACAGAGTCTGTCTGTGTCTCTCTAATTTTGGACTGAGAAACTGAACCAAGACTTCACTTAACAGTTATTTTCATTATCATTTTATTTGCTTATTAATATATTTTCTTCAGTCAATACAAATACTGTCTAGAAAATGTTTTATATTTTTCTCATTTGATTTTTTTTAACCATTTTCTTTGGTTGCAATGGTTAATCACTGCTTTAAAAAAACAAAAGAGTCAAGTAAGATTTCAAATCTGTCTTTTTCTCTGAGATGAACGTGCCCCTCTGACCCTCGGAGCATGTGGAGGGGCATTAAGTGCATAACAGATTATAAAGGAAGGAGCGAACAATGTCCCAAAGACCCATCTCTGCCTGATGCCCTCAACAAGTTCTATGCACGCTTTGAAGACCCGAACAGACCACCCAGCACCAGACTCACCTCGCCACCGGATGAAGAGCATCTCAGCGTGACCTCAGCAGAAGTAAGGAGTACCTTCAGGAGGATTAATCCGCACAAAGCAACTGGCCCAGACAACATCCCCGGAAAAGTGTTGAAGGAATGTGCTGATCAGCTCTGTGAGGTGCTGGCAGACATCTTAAACACTTCACTTACCCTGGAGACAGTTCCCACCTGCCTGAAGACTGCCACCATCATCCCAGTCCCAAAAAGCTCTACAGTGACTGGTCTGAATGACTATCGGCCAGTGGCCCTCACCCCGATAGTCGCTAAATGCTTCGAAAAACTGGTCATGACTCACATCAAAACAACCATCAACATCAACGAGGACCCTCATCAGTACGCATACCGTGAGAACCGATCAACAGAGGATGCAATCTCCTCTGTGGTCCACACTGCACTCAACCACCTGGAGCAGAAAAACTCTTACGTCCGTATGCACTTTGTGGACTTCACATCCGCCTTCAACACCATGATCCCCCAAACCCTGATGGACAAACTATCCACACTAGGACTAAGCCCCTCCATCTGCAACTGGGTACTAGACTTTTTAACAAACAGACCACAGTTAGTGAGGATCCACAACCTCTCCTCCTCCACCATAACCCTCAGCACTGGCTCTCCTCAGGGATGTGTGTTGAGCCCCCTTCTGTTTAGTCTGCTCACATATGATTGTGCAGCTACCCATCCAGGCTGTCACATTGTAAAGTTTGCAGATGATACAGCGGTGGTGGGATGCATCACAAACAATGATGAGTCCAGCTACAGGTAAGAGGTGGAACACCTGGAGAGCTGGTGCAGAGAGAATAACCTTCACATCAATGTGAAGAAGACAAAGGAGATGATTGTGGACTTCAGAAGGAACAAAAACACCTACACCCCCCTGAACATAAGAGGATCTGCGGTGGAAGTGGTCTCCAGCTACAAGTACTTGGGTGTACACATGAATGACAACCTCAGCTGGAGCAACAACACCACCAGCCTGATCAAGAAAGCTCATCAGAGACTCTACTTCCTCAGACGGCTGAGGCGAGCTGGTCTGGGAAGCTCAGTCCTCACCTCCTTCTACAGGTGTGCAGTGGAGAGCATCCTGTGCTCAAGCATCAATGTGTGGCATGGAGGCTGCACAGCTGCAGAAAGAAAAGCTTTGCCGAGAGTGGTGAAGGCTGCACAGAAATCTGTTGGAATCAGTCTCCCCACCATCACAGACATCTACACCTCCAGATGCAGGAAGAGGGCCACCTGCATCATGAAGGACCCCACCCACCCAGCACACACACTTTTTGCCCCACTCCCCTCAGGAAGGAGGTTAAGGAGCATTAAGTGTAGAACCACTAGACTGAGGAACAGCTTCTACCCTGAGGCTGTTAGACTCATGAATCTCTAACTAGAATAATCACTGTGAAAAACCATATCATGTTGCTGCTGATCTGTTTCATGTTGCTGCTGATCTGTTTCAATGTTGATGTGTTCATGCGTGCACATCTGCTCACAGACTCATGTTCATGTTTGTGGTGATGTTCAATGTTTTATGTTATGAGTGCTTAGTGTATATTTAGTTGATGTTTTTCTTAGTTCATAACTTAGATGTTATTACTGTTTTTCTTATACATTTTATTGTTGGATGTAACTGGGACCCTGCGTACATAATTTCGCTCCACCACATGTACCACATGAGGTGCGAATGACAATAAAGAAACTCTGACTCTGACTCTGACTCTGACAAAACCTCTGGCCCCAGCTAGGCCCCACCAGTACAATTGGTCTAGAACCGCCACTGAGACAGACACAGACAGACAGACACAGACAGACAGAGACAGACAGACAGACAGAGACAGAGGATATTTCCAGCCCTCCTCTTTGCTCTGCAGTGGGGGACAAATAGAGGTGTAGCCCTTTTTGTTTTTTTTTTTAGATCAGCTGTGGCAATCAAACTAAACTGAGCTTATAGAAATACACCCAAAGATTATGTTCTGAGAAATTTATAAAAATAAGTAACACACACACCAAAACATTATTGTCATTTGTCACTTTTTTTTTTATAATGAAAGAAAAAAGCAAAGAAGTGAATGTATGCCCGAGTCATTTTAAAGAGAGCAAAAGCTCAAGCATGTCAACATGAACACATGCAGTTGTGCATTTATGTATGTCCAAGGAGGTTTGTGCACGTCACTCTTTTTTTGGCTGGAGCTCACAAATCAAACCAGTTGCACATTTGCTGCCTTCTTACTACCGATGTGAGAGCAGAAACACTGTCAAGACATTGCCGAGCACTCAGGCAGGAGGGTAAGGACCACGTTTCATGTCAAACTATTTGTTTTGTCCAGAAAAACACAACAGTCCGACAGCTTTAGAGCATAAAGCGACAAAAAAACAGAAGCAGAAATGACAGAAACTGTGTTTCTCTGAAGATATCTGTTCCAATCAATGAGTTATTTACAGCCTGACGCTGTAATAAAGAGGCAAAGCGAGAACACAAACTATAAACTGAACACACCAAAACTCACCTGGATCAAAGTTTGTTTTGGGGCTTTTTTAAAGCTTGCAATGTGATCAAAAAGTGATTTATGTTGCTTTCAGACCACTCAATACTATGACGTCTGACTCAGGCTGCGGGGAAACAGGTTGAACAGTACTCACGCGTGTGTGTGTGTTGTTTTTGCAGGTGCATGAGCGTCCAGGACAAAAGAAGGTGAGATAGCTGGACAAAACTGAACATGGCAGAGCTCATTATGGGGCTTGAACACGGGCAGCTAAATTAAACCAGAGGAGGAGACAGAAGACGATTTGTGTTTGTAACTGTGGAGCTGAAGAAAATGAGAACAAAGGAGAAATGT